TTGTCCCCAGGGTGAAGGAGACGTCGGGGTGGCAGCAGGTCTTCTCCAGCCCGCGGTTGGACTGGGTGATCGAAAGGGTGGCCCTCAACGCCAAGGTGCTCGGCGGAGCTTTGGGTGACCACGACAAGATGGTGGCCGTGGCGTCCTGCAACGAGATCATCCTCTGGGCCCTGCAAGCCGACGGCAACGGCAGTGAGATCGGTGAGATCTCTCCCCGCTGACTCGATCCTCGAGGATCCTCGAGGATCTTGGCAAGATCCGGCTTTCTCGGCATCCTCTTGGATGTCTTCTCCTCGCCCAGGCGTCTTCCACCTGGGAGTACCGGTGGAAGCCCTCTTCTTCGTGGGGAACCAACTCATCGCCACCAGCCACACCGGCAAAATCGGCGTCTGGAACGCCGTCACCAAGCACTGGCAGGGGAGCACGGGCGCCACCGCCACCAGATTGTCCCCAAATTGTCCCCAAAACTCCTTTCTATCCCTCCCGCAGATCCAGGATGTTGTCCCCATCAACAGCTACGACGCTGCCGGCACCTTCCTCCTCCTCGGTTGCAACAACGGCTCCATCTACTACGTGGGTGAGCGCCGATGACGCGGCTTTAACCGCCCCGGCCGGTGGCAACGCCGTCACCGTCCCTCTGTCCCTCCCCATCAGACGTTCAGAAGTTCCCCCTGCGCATGAAGGACAACGATCTGCTGGTGACGGAGCTCTACCGCGACCCCACCGAAGACGCCGTCACCGCCCTCAGCGTCTACCTCACCCCCAAGACCAGTAAGACCTCCCGCCGCCCACCCTGGGAGGCTCTTCGCCCCACCAGTTTGCTACTGGGGTGAACTGGAAAAGCTTTGGGATCATTCTGGAGGGGTTTGTGTCCGTAGGTGACAGCGGGAATTGGATCGAGATCGCCTACGGCACCAGCTCCGGCGTGGTACGGGTTATCGTGCAGCACCCCGAAACCGTGGGCTCCGGTCCTCAACTCTTCCAAACCTTCACCGTACACCGCAGCCCCGTCACCAAAATCATGCTTTCGGAGAAACACCTCATCTCCGGTGAGCGCCGGGCGAGGAAAACACCAACGGGCGAGGAAATCGCCGGCGTTTGCCGCTCATCCGCCCTCCGTCTTCCCAGTTTGTGCCGATAACAACCACGTCCGGACCTGGACGGTGACTCGTTTCCGCGGGATGATTTCCACCCAACCCGGCTCGACGCCGTTGGCTTCCTTCAAAATCCTTTCGCTGGATGATCTCGACGGTCCCGCCGGCTGCGGCGCCGGCACCGATATCGGTAAGAGGGTGCCGGGTTTGGGGGTGAGGCGGGACGACGGCGCGAGATGGGTGCTGAGCGGCGGGTTTTTTTGCCGGCAGGACCCTTCGGCGAGCGGGATGAGCAGCAGGTCTTCATCCAAAGAGTGGTGCCGGATGCGTGCCAGGTCTTCGTCCGGCTTTCCTCCACCGGCAAAAGGTGAGCGCGACCGGATTTGCCACCGCTGAAGGAAAAAAATTGGGGTGCTGGGAGTTTTTGGGGGGGTCATAAAGCGTCATTCACCCCCTCCCCAGGATCTGCGAGGTGCGTTCGGTCGACGCCGCGGCCATCACCGCCTT